TTGGTGGGGGGAGGGTCAACAGTGGGAGGGCTTCTAGTCTCCTGGCCCCACTGATGGACCTCCTGATATCACCTGGTATTTTTGGCCACTCTTGTGAGACAGAGTGTTGGACTGGATGGGCCATTGGCCTGATCCAACATTGGCTTCTCTTATGTTCTTATACTATATTGGTGCCACGCTACTGCATTTAAGTTCTACAAGAAAACAGACAAGCACAATATGCATTTTACAGTTCTCTCATAATGTTATACACTATAAGGAAATCAGACGTATGAAAAACATATGAAGAGTCACTGACCTGGTGACTAGGAATCGCCAATATTAAACTATGATGTGACTAGGTCTACAATACATTTCAAATGGCAAACCTCCCTAGTGCGGCCAACGTATCTCCATGGAGAACCTAAGAGCTGCCACAGCCGTTGTGATTTAAGGTGGTATATTCTATCTTAAAGGTATCCTAACTGTTTGTAGAAAAGAAGTCAAATCTAGTTCCTGATTCAGCCCTGATGGGATTAATGTATGTAACCTGAAAATAAATTCAGCTTCTTTTTGTAATAAAACTCAAGACACATCAACTGGGTTATAAGGTGGTGGGTCTATAGTGATAAAGGTAAAGGTTCCCCTTGCTCGAAAGCCAGTCGAGTCTGACTCTAGGGTTGCGGTGCTCATCTCCGTTTTAAAGCTGAACAGCCAGCGCTGTCTGAAGACGTTTCCGTGGTCATGTGGCCGGCATGACTAAACACCATACCGCATGGAACGCTGTTCCCTTCCCACTGAAGTGGTACCTATTTATCTACTTGCAATTTCTTGCTTTCGAACTGCTAGGTTGGCAGGAGCTGGAACTAGAGACGGGAGCTCACTCCGTCATGCAGCGCACTCGGGTCTCGAACTGCTGAACTACCGACCTTCCACAGCCTGCAGTTCAGCGTCTTAACCACTTGAGCCACCGCAGCTCCTAGCAATAGCTATAGGCATAATGTAGCCAATCCTGTAAGCTCTTCTTACAGGGGCCACTGTAAGCTCTTGGAAGATTGGCTACATTAGGGGTGTGTCGCCTAATATGCAAAGGAGTTCCTGCTACAAAAAGAGCCGTGTGTGTGTGTATGCCGCCTTGAGATCTGTGGGAAGAGAGGCGGCTAATGAATATTTTTAAATAAATAAATCAACAGAAATATTCCATTCAGCTCTACCTCCTGTGGAAGACATTTTGGATTCGGCTCTCCCTCCAGTGGCAGCCATTTTGGGGTGGCGCTAACCGCCCCCCTCTTAAAACTTCGACTGTGCCTGCAGGTTCAAAAATGGTTTGGGCCCCCCCAGTTTAAGCGATGCACGGGAGAGCATCCTACCTTATCCTCACAGATAACCCTGTGAGATGAATCGGGCTGACAGAGCAGCCGGCCTCGGATTACCTGGTGAACTTAACGTCTAAATGGGGGTTTCAACTCAGTCCTCCTCCGAGTGTGACTCTCAAGCCATGACATCACGTAGCCTCTTCCTTTTTATGACGTCTGCAAAGGAGCCCCTCGCTGCTAGGTTTCTGCTCTCTCGGGGGTTCTTTTTTTTTTTAATCTACAATTTTTAAGAAATTAATAACAATGCAAGGTAAGTGCAATAGATGTCTGCAGACGAAGTACAAAAATAGGTTAGGAAAAGCATTAATGCTTAACTCTGTCCAGGCCGAAGACGCCAGAGAACTGTATTGCACAGCACAAAACATCTTTTAAGGCAACAATCGTATAATAAATACATATCTTTACAGGCAAATTTTAAATCAATGTTCTGAGAGTCACTTCAGATATGATCTTAGATCTAAGCGAAATAATGTTTCAGGTTCAAGTTTCAAAAAGGATTTGTAAAAAGGATTTGCTGGGTTTACATCAGATCCAACCGTATAGTTGATGAGTGAATACCGGGATGCTATAAACTTTTCTTCAGATTTGCTGGAGGAGAGATTGAGTGTGCCAAGTAATATTTTGGACATAATGAAGCGGTCCCAAATACAATTTTGCCAGGATTCGATCGTGGGGGGAGGTTTGTCTAGCCATGCCACGGCTATGGTCTTTCTGGCTACAGCGTCTGCTCTCTTGGGGGTTCTGTTGGAATCGTGACATCTTCGTGGGAGAGTCCTAAACCCACAAGCCAGTTTAGTGTAGTGAGAGCCAGTTTGGTGTAGTGGTTAAGTGCGCGGACTCTAATCCGGGAGAACCGGGTTTGATTCCCCACTCCTCCACTCGCAGCTGCTGGCATGACCTTGGGCAAGCCATAGTTCTGATAAGAGCTGTCCTTGAAAAAAGAGCCGTTTCTGTCAGAGCTCTCTCAGCCCCGCCTACCTCACAGGGTGTCTGTCGTGGGGAGGGGAAGGGAAAGGAGTTTGTAAGCCGCTCTGAGACTCCTTTGGGTAGTGAAGGGCGGGGTATAAATCCAATCTCTCCTTCTTCTTTGTTTACCTCACAGGGTGTCTGTTGTGGGGAGGGGAAGGGAAAGGAGTTTGTAAGCTGCTCTGAGGCACCTTTGGGTAGTGAAGGGTGGGGTATAAATCCAATCTCCTCTTCTTCTTTTACCTCACAGGGTGCCTGTTGTGGGGAGGGGAAGGGAAAGGAGTTTGTAAGCCGCTCTGAGACTCCTTTGGGTAGTGAAGGGCGGGGTATAAATCCAATCTCTAAGACCCAGATAGCCCAGGCTAGCCCAGTCCCCTGGAGAAAACGGCTGCTTTGCAGGGTGGACTGTACGGCATTGTTCCCTGCCGAGGTCCCTCCCCAGGCTGCACCCCCAAATCTCCAGGTATTTTCCAGCCAGGAGTTGTCATCCCGATCTGTTGCACATTCCTCTGCATCTGGAAGCAGAAGACACACACCCCTTTTCCCCATCCGGGCTCTCCATAAGCTTCCTCCACCTGTGACCCTCAGCCCCGAAGGTGCCTTGTTGGTTTCCCTAGCAACCGTCCCGCCAACCAGAAGGAACGTCGGCATCCTCGGCCTGGCCAATCGGCATCCGGCTGGAGGGTGAACGGCATTGCATTGGCCCGGCTGACAGCGAGGGCTGTTGCTGTGCTCCCGGGCATCCCTTGCGAAAGAACGAGAGAGGCCGCAGAGAGAGAGGGAGAGATGGCGGAGCAGGCCGCATCTCCGGATAACCGTTGCCTTCCCTCGCCCACAGGAAGGGAGGGGCGGGGGATGTATGGTGTTTTTAAAGCAAGAACGGTTTTCCTCAAGTAAAAAAAAAGGGGGAGTGGAGAATGCCCTTCCCTGTTTCACAGTGCGATGTGGTGGTTAAGAATGTCGGACTAGGATCCGGGAGACCTGGGTTCGGATCCCGACTCCTGCTGTGGGTAGGGTTTCCAACCTCCGGGTGGTTAAGTGGAACACTACATCGCCATGTATAATTTTACAGTTCCCCCCCCGTTTTTATGTTCTGCTAGGTGTGAATTCTTACAGTGCTAACGGCGTTCCAGTAATCATTCCGTTTGCGTATTCTTCATCAGGTTTGTCTGTTGTTGTTGATTCATCACAATCTTGAGGTACTGAAGGCTGCAGTAAAGTAACATGCTTAATAAACGACACAAAAACCTAAAGAAGTTTTCCTTTACAATAAGGAGCATTTTAGAAGAAGAAGAAGAGATTGGATTTATACCCTGCCCTTCACTACCCAAAGGAGTCTCAGAGCGGCTTACAAACTCCTTTCCCTTCC